GGTGCTAGAGCAGCAGCTGGATCGTGAAGCCCAGACAAGACATCAACTGGTGCTTACTGCTGTGGATGGGGGGACCCCAGCCCGCTCAGGGACCACCCTTATCTCTGTCATCGTGCTGGACATCAATGATAACGCTCCAACCTTCCAATCCTCAGTTCTACGTGTGGGAATCCCAGAGAATGCACCCATTGGTACTCTGCTGCTCCGCCTCAATGCCACTGATCCAGACGAGGGCACCAACGGCCAACTAGACTATTCTTTTGGAGACCACACATCTGAGGCAGTGAGGAACCTCTTTGGCCTAGACCCTAGCAGTGGGGCAATCCATGTATTGGGTCCCATAGACTTTGAGGAGTCAAGTTTCTATGAAATTCATGCAAGAGCCCGTGACCAGGGACAGCCTGCCATGGAGGGCCACTGTGTGATTCAAGTGGATGTGGGGGATGTCAATGACAATGCTCCAGAAGTGCTATTGGCCTCTTTGGCCAACCCTGTCCTAGAGAGCACACCAGTAGGCACAGTAGTGGGGTTGTTTAATGTGCGAGACCGAGACTCAGGTAGAAATGGTGAAGTGAGCCTTGATATCTCTCCGGACCTGCCATTTCAGATTAAGCCTTCTGAGAACCACTACTCGCTGCTAACCAGCCAGCCTTTGGACCGGGAGGCCACATCCCACTATACCATCGAGCTGCTGGCCAGCGATGCTGGTTCACCTCCCCTGCACAAACATCTCACCATCAGGCTCAACATTTCAGATGTTAATGACAATGCACCCCACTTCAACCAGCAGCTTTACACTGCTTACATCCTAGAAAACCGGCCTCCAGGCTCCCTTCTCTGCACTGTGGCTGCCTCAGATCCAGACACTGGGGATAATGCCCGCCTCACCTACTCCATTGTAGGAAATCAGATTCAGGGAGCCCCAGCCTCCTCTTTCGTGTATGTCAACCCAGAGGATGGACGGGTGTTTGCCCAGCGTACCTTTGACTATGAATTGCTACAGATGCTGCAGATTGTGGTGGGGGTTCGAGACTCCGGCTCTCCCCCATTGCATGCCAACACATCTCTGCATGTGTTCGTCCTGGATGAGAATGATAATGCCCCAGCTGTGCTGCACCCACGGCCAGGCTGGGAACACTCAGCCCCCCAGCGTCTCCCTCGCTCTGCTCCTCCTGGCTCCTTGGTCACCAAGGTGACAGCCGTGGATGCTGATGCAGGCCACAATGCGTGGCTCTCCTACTCACTGTTGCCACAGTCCACAGCCCCAGGACTCTTCCTCGTGTCTACACACACTGGTGAGGTGCGCACAGCCCGGGCCTTACTGGAGGATGACTCTGACACCCAGCAGGTGGTGGTCCTGGTGAGGGACAATGGTGACCCTTCACTCTCCTCCACAGCCACAGTGCTGCTGGTTCTGGAGGATGAGGACCCTGAGGAAATGCCCAAATCCAGTGACTTTCTCAAACACCCTCCTGAGCGTTCAGACCTTACGCTTTACCTCATTGTGGCTCTAGCGACCGTCAGTCTCTTATCCCTAGTCACCTTCACCTTTCTGTCAGCTAAGTGCCTTCAGGGGAACGCAGACAGGGACGGGGGTGGAGGGCAGTGCTGCAGGCGTCAGGACTCACCCTCCCGGGACTTCTATAAGCAGTCCAGCCCCAACCTGCAAGTGAGCTCGGACGGCACGCTCAAGTACATGGAGGTGACGCTGCGGCCCACAGACTCTCAGAGCCACTGCTACAGGACGTGCTTTTCACCGGCCTCGGACGGCAGTGACTTCACTTTTCTAAGACCCCTCAGCGTTCAGCAGCCCACAGCTCTGGCGCTGGAGCCTGACGCCATCCGGTCCCGCTCTAATACACTGCGGGAGCGGAGCCAGGTGAGGGGCTCGGCGCCGCCCCGGGCGACCCCTGGGGGCGGCACTAGAGAAGCCGCCCCTCCTCATAAGGGACTGAACTGGCATCCACTCCTCTCCGGGCGGCTCGGCCGCTGGCTGCGCTCCACCCGATTCTCGGGATCATTGGACCGTTGGCGCGGAACCAGAGGAGTGGCCGATTAAGGGATGGGGCTCCGAGCACCGGGGGTGGTGGCGACTGTGATCGAGGGGAGGTGGGACCGACCCCCACCCCACACTCAGAAAAGGCTGGGGCCCCCGTCGAGCTTCCGGTGAATTTCGGGCGATTTCCGTGGGTGTCGGGGGTCCCGGGAGGAGGCAGTCACAGATCCACCCATGCAGCCAGCCTCCTAGGCGCCGGCTCCCGCACGCTTCGCCGGTCTTGAGGTTTCCTCTTCGATTTCTCCCCAACCCCCAGCATCTGTGACTTCGCTGTTACCCTCCCTATTCCCGCATCACCCAACCACATCTGTCTGCAGGACTTAAGTGTGCGCGCGGGGCTCATGCGTATCCTCCCTGCAGGCCACCCCCACGGCCCACGCACGGTGCACGGGCTCGCCACGCCCCGCCAACACATGCGCGGACGCACGCACACACCCCTCGCACTTGCGCTTACACGAATACCAGCTTTCACTGCCACTCGCTCGCGGCCAGGTTCACAGGCCTGTCCCGGCCCACTCGCAGTTCTCCCTCTGAGACCGTTCCCTCCGCCTGGCTCAGGGGTACTCGTAGCAGATTGTGCGCGCCTTAGTGAGGGTCCCAGATCGCGGTCGCCCAGGACCAGGCGAGGACTCCGGAGCCTCCTCTCACCTCTCCCACCTGGGCCCCGGGCTGGGCTGGGTCGTCTGGGGGCGGCCTGAGCTAGGCGCGGGGCCAGGAGTGCTGGAGCGACTCCGCGCTCAAAGTGTCAGGCGGGCGGGACTCTACGACCCTTGGGCCAGAGATCCGGATGGTCCCGGGGCTCCGTCTCAAGGGTGGCGACCTCTCAACCCAGAAGCCTCCAGCGGGCGGACAGGCAGAGCTGCCCAGTGGCCCGAGGCGCAGGGCTCGGCCTTGGGCGAGTGAGTGAGCGCCTATAGGACAGCAGGCCTGGGACTCCAGTGGCAAGAGCGGCCCCTTCCTCCCGCAGGAAGTGGAAGCCTGGAGCGCCCTGGCTCTCAACGCCCAGAGATACAGGCTTTTGGCGCCGTCGTGATCACAATGTGCCCAGAGATCTAGGGTCAGAGATTTGGAGGTGACCAAGCTATCTGAGACTGTAACAAGTCCTCTCTCCTCTGGCAGATGGAAAGCTGTAGGCTCTGCCGGATGCCAGGGTGCCCTTATGTGTGAGGAAACTACAGTAGTAAAAAACACGAGTTTCCCCAACTCTAGGAGCTTTTATTCAAAATATATCTATGTCTAACTCTGCCCCTAGGGATTAGAACTGTAGTTTGAAACACCCCCAGGTGATTTTGATAACTGATTGAGAGAAACTTACTATATAACTCTTTTGAGCATCTCATCTCATTTGCTCTTCCCACCATTGCTGTTGGCTAGGTACTAACATGCCTCTCTTATAACAGCTTCAAAAAGGTCAACTGACTTGCTCAAGTTCACAGAGCAAGTAAGAGAGATTCTAACCCCTATCTAACTCCAGAATTTGTGTTTTTAATTTCTTGGCACTTGGAACTTTAAAAGCTTGAGGACAGGAGAGGGGAGTTGGCTCTGCTGGGATTTTGCTTCTGCTGGGATGGGGCAAGGGTGGGGTTCCTACCTTTTAGCACCTTACCTGTGGGGAAAGTCTTCTGCGGCTCCTTATTTCTGAGCAGTTCCCACAGCGCAAACTTGGCCAGTTATCCTTACGTAGGTTGAGTTTCCCCTAGCTCCCTTTCCTCCTACCACAATTATTGCATTTCCATGTAGATTCTGCTGTGTCTAAGAGTACAGTGGCTGAGGGCTGGCTATCCTTGTGCCCTTCTCCATGGCAGCCCTAGAATGGTGCTGGTGACTCCTGATGTACCTGGAATGCTAGGTTTCTGGGTTCTGCTCATATCACTGCTACCTGTGGGCCTTAGAGTGAGCCGCTGGCAGTTCTGGAGCTTCCTTCTCCCTGGAGTAATCTGAGATACTCACACTCTGCACTTCTGGGAGCAAGTATGAGTATTAATTACCAGCCCACCCCAGAACCAGTGAGGAGATGGCTCTAGGAGTGCTCCATGAGATTGTGTGATGGGATAACACATCCCCTGGAAAGACCAGAAGGGACTGAGGAATGAAGTGGCTGGCCAGAGCCCCACACCTTCAGCTATGTGAGAGATGGCTACAAATCAGCCCCTTGGGAGCCCTGGAGACTTAGTTGGCCCTGCTTGGAGGTTATGGGAACTGGATCCCTCCCCCCTGCATCCCTTCCATTTTTCTCCGTCTCAGACAGAGCAGCCTTGTTCTCTTCTCCTTAGTCACAGACCATGGTCTGGCACAGAGTTCCAGGGGTGAGAAGTGTCCCGGGACTTGGATGCTATGCAAATGCCCAATCTGGCATGACTCCCAAATTAATAATGTCTTTAGCTGTGGGAAGAGATCCTTGCGAGCCAAGGACCCGGAGAAGGTGTCCCTGTGAATGTGTCACTGCACAACCTGGCACCAAAAGGGTTACCAGGAGCAGCAGCCATCTTGCTGCAGAGGATGCTTTGTTCGCAGCTGAGGAGTTGAATAAACTCATTCTAGGGCTGGTGGAATTATCATTGAAAAGCCTCCTCTGCCACTTTAGGGGGATTTCTCTGCACCTCTTCCCCCAGTTCCACAGAAGATGCCTTCAGTCCTTGAATTTTGGCTCAGGAGTTCTGACTGTGGGGGCAGGGAGGAAGGGGCCATTTCTTTAGGAAAGGAGTCTGAGCTTGCTCACTGTGATCAGATGAAATGTGATTTACCTCTTGGTTTCTGGAACCTCAGACCTCTGAGACCTGAGGTGTATTTTGTCTTTGGAGATGAGTCCACCCCTGCCCCCTCTTAGCCCGTTTTCTTCTCTGTGCCCGCTCCCCTCCTTCTCTCCTGGCCCATCCCTAGGGGCTCGGGTGACATTCTAATTTCTCACAGGTACTCAGCCCCTCTCCCTCTGTTTTCTCCACAGCAAGCCCCGCCCAACACGGACTGGCGTTTCTCTCAGGCCCAGAGACCCGGCACCAGCGGGTAGGTGACTGATTCTCCAGCCCACCCTCTTCTCTGCGGCATTTTCTCAGGGATGATATGGGAGGAGATGGGGGAGGGCTCAGCATTTGCTACAAATGGCTTCTCCCTCAGTTTGAGATCCCAGGGAAGTCTTGGTGTGTGGGGGGCTGGCACACAGACCCCAGAAGGAAGAGGCGACTGCCCTGACTGTTCAGGAAGCTCAATTCACATGCTTGCTCCTTCCCTCCTCCCCATGACCGGCACCTTTTCCTATCCCCTGAGGGCACTGTGGAACCAAAGGTGGTCTTAAGCTGGTCTCTGGGTGAAAGCGAGGCTTTCTATGCTGTACTGCCTAACTCCCTCCTCTGAGTTGAGCTGGGCTCCATTCTGACCTGGGGCTCAGGCAGAAAAACATTTGACCGGAGGAGGCCGTCTGCAGTCAGCACCTCCTCCAGAGCCTCCAGAGCCAAGGCTGATTGGAGCCTGGGGAGAGTGGAGGCAGCACAGCTGGAGGTGGGACTGAGGAAGGACTGGGTGGGGCATGGAGCAGGCCTCCCTCATTTGGCTGCTCCTCCCACTGTCCTCTGCCCCTACTTGTCCTGCCCTCTCTGTCTGTGGGGTCTCTGTGTCTCTACCCCTTTTTCTTGAGTTTCTGTCTTTGCCACTTTCTCTTACCTCTGGGTCCTTCCCTCAGTCTCTATCTCACTTTGCAATCTCTGCCTCTCCCTCTCTTCTCCATCTCTGTCTTAGCTTCGGTCTTGACTGCTGCACCTCAGCTTCAGTCCCTTTCATTTGTCTACTTGCATTGATCTGTGCCGCCCACTGTGCCTGCCATGGCATAAGTGCTCAATTAATGTGGAGTGAGTGACTACATAGGACTCTTCGTCTCTTTCTCCTTCTCTATCTCTGCCTCCCTGTCCTTTTCCTGGACCTCTTTTCTGTTTCTCCTTTCACCATTTCCTAGCGCCTTGTGTTCTTCTATCCGCAGCCTCTATGTTTCTCTGTCTGTCACTGTTTCTGCTTTCCTGTCTGTTCTCAGCCTCACTGCATCTCTTTCTTTGCCTCTGTCTCTGTATATCTCTCTGTGCCTGTTGTCTTTTTCTGCCTCTTTCTCTGTTACTCTTTATCTCTCTTTTTCTTTTATCTCATCTTTTTCTCTGAGCCTCTGTCTCTTCTCTCATTTTTTTGTGCTTGTGGGCAAGCCAGCACACACAACCCCCCACCCACCACCCACCACCACCCCGCTCTCTTCCTTCCCTTCCCCTCACACACTGAGCCTTTGATCACAGCTCTCCACCACACCCCCTCCCATCCAAGCAGCCCCAGCTGCTTATTTCAATCTGGTATGAATTCCTGCTGAGACAGGAACCCCCTGCGGGCTTAAGGGGAGGGAAACTTCTGCAGAAAGACCTTCAGTTGGTCTGAGCAGAGTGGGATAGGCTGTGGGCCAGGCCTCCCAGTTAGAAGTCAGGAGCCTGGAGGAGTTTCAGAGCCCAGGGAGAGAAGCAGGAGCTTGGGCCACCTTACCCTAGCTCCTCAATGGTTGAGTACTTGCTGTCCACATTTGCCAAGTTGCTACAGATGCTGAGCTTCCAAGAATCCCCTCTCCCCATCCTACAACCAACCATACCCTTGTTGCCACAAGGACCCAGGAGCCCTTGGTGTATGGCAGAGATTCCAGCTCCTGGGCATGCATAGTCCTGTCACCCGTTTTAGGAACGCAAAGCGTTTCTTAGAAGCCCCTTAAAAAGCAGCAGATCAAAAGGCTTGGGCTTTTTGCCCTTGGGCTGCCCTTGCCCTTCCTTTGACCCCAGCCATTGTCCTTCTCCTAGCTGGCCTTGCCAACCTTCTCATAAGTTATCCATTAAGCCATTAATGTATTCATTCATTCATTTATTCAACAAATATTTATCGAGCATCTACTATGAGCAGGGCCCTGTGTTAAACATTGGGCTATAAGAGTAAACAAGTAGGCCGGGCGTGGTGGCTCATGCCTGTAATCCCAGCACTTTGGGAGGCCAAGGCGGGTGGATCACGAGGTCAGGAGATCGAGACCATTCTAGCTAACACGGTGAAACCCTGTCTCTACAAAAATTCAAAAAATTAGCCGGGCATTGTGGTGGGTGCCTGTAGTCCCAGCTACTCAGGAGGCTGAGGCAGGAGAATGGCGTGAACCTGGGAGGTGGAGCTTGCAGTGAGCCGAGATTGTACCACTGCACTCCAGCCTGGGGGACAGAGCGAGACTCAGTCTCAAAAAAAAAAAAAAAGAGTGAACAAGTAGATGTGATCCCGGAACTCACAGGCTTCCAGGCCAGCAGTGGAGACAGAAAATTTGCAACAAGTAACACTTAAAAAAAAAAAAAAAAAAGCCTGGGCACTGTGGCCCACGCCTGTAATCCCAGCACTTTGGGAGGCCAAGGTGGATGGATCACCCCCACAAGGTGGGGGTTTGAGACTAGCCTGGCAGCCAACATGGTGAAACCCCGTCTCTACTAAAAATACAAAAATTAGCCGGGCGTGGTGGCAGGCACCTGTAATCCCAGCAATTTGGGAGGCTGAGGCAGGAGGACTGCTTGAACCCGGGAGGCAGAGATTGCAGTGAGCTGAGATCATGAAAAAAAAAAATCTAGCTACAAATCATAGTAAGTTCTGAGAGGCAGAGAACAATGTGAGTGTAATAGGGGGAAGACCAGGGAAGGCTTCTAGGAGGAGGTGACATTGAGAAGTTCTAGGCCATTTATGTTCCCTCTACCTACCTCCACCCCAAGCCATACACTGACTTTGAAGCAGAATTCACTGTTGAACCTGGAAGCCCCACCAACTGCCTCTCATGTGTCCTCTGAGATGAGCACCTTACCTCTGCCTCAACTCCCTTTTCGTCAGATGAGAGGCTTAGTGGCCTGGAATACATGTGGGAGCTCTTGGAAATATGGAGGAGAAGGTGCGGAGCCTCTCTCTCTCTCCTCTCTTTGCTTCCTTAGTTAACTTGTGGGGGACGCAACAAACAATTTTTTTTTTTTTAACGGAGTCTTGCTCTGTTGCCCAAGCTGGAGTGCAGTGGTGCAATCTTAGCTCACTGCAACTTCTGCCTGCCAGGTTCAAGTGATTCTCCTGCTTCAGCCTCCCAAGTAGCTGGGACAGCAGGTGTGCACCACCACACCCAGCTCATTTTTGTATTTTTAGTAGAGATGGGTTTCGCCATGTCGGCCAGGCTGGTTTCAAACTCCCCGACCTCAACTGATCCACCTGCCTCAGCTTCCCAAAGTGCTAGAATTATAGGCATGAGCCATTGCCCCTGGCCACATTTTTGATTCAGTGGTCAATATGAAATAAGCACTAGGATCTAGTCCAGTAACTTCAACTTCTCTCCTTCATTCATTCAACAAATGGTCAGTGAGCACTTTCTGTTAGCTAGGCAGTGTTTTTGATGTGGGAGGCCCCTGCCCTTAAGGAGATTACAGTGCATTGAAGGAGACAAATATTGACCAAATAATTACAGAAATAAATGTGAGACTGAAGCTGTCATAGTGCTAGGTAGAATTGTATCTGGTGGTGTGGGCGTATAATAGGGATTTGAGGCCGGGCGCGGTGGCTCAAGCCTGTAATCCCAGCACTTTGGGAGGCCGAGACGGGCGAATCACGAGGTCAGGAGATCAAGACCATCCTGGCTAACACGGTGAAACCCCGTCTCTACTAAAAAATACAAAAAAATAACTGCGGCGGAGGGGTGGCAGGCGCCTGTGTCCCAGGCTACCTCGGGAGGCTGAGCAGGAGAATGGCGTAAACTCGGGCGGCGGAGCTTGCAGTGAGCTGAGATCGGCCACTGCACTCCAGCCTGGGCGGCAGAGCGAGACTCCGTCTCAAAAAAAAAAAAAAAAAAATAGGGATTTGATTTAGGGAGCAGGAGGACATCCTGGAAATGAAGTTGTGCTGAGATCGAAAGACAAATACAAATTAACCAGCTGAAGAAAAGAAGGAAGAGCATTCCAGATGGTCAGGCACACCAGCTTCAAAGCAGGGCTAGTGTTGAGTTCTTCAGTAAACTTAGTTCAAGTTCAAGCCAGCTCTGGGTCACACTGCCTACACAGAAGGAAAAGCATTTCAAATGGGAAAGCCTACGCAAAAGCCCTGTGGTGAGGCCTCCTGGGATCAAGGGAATGGCACGGAGTTTTCTCTTTGCTGGCCTTGGAGTGAAGGGATGAAGACGAGAGGTTCCTTTCATTCAGTCTAACCCTGGTTCCAGTCTTCTGTTGATGCCCTGCCTCACTCCCTCCCTACCATCTTGCCCACTGCCCTCCAGCCTGGTCTGGTCAGACACATCAGCTTCAAAGCAGGGCTAGCGTTGAATTCTTCAGTAAACTTGTTCAAGTTCAAGTCAGCACTGGGTCACACTGCCTAGACAGAAGGAAGAAGACCTGGCCAGGCGCCGTGCCGTGGCTCACGCCTATAATCCCCGCACTTTGGGAGGCTGAGGTGGGCGGATCACCTGAGCTCAGAAGTTTGAAACCAAACTGGCCAACATGATGAAACCCCGTCTCTACTAAAAATACAAAATATTAGCCAGGAGTGGTGGTGCGCACCTGTAGTCCCAGCTACTCGGGAGGCTGAGGCAGGGGAATTGCTTGAACCCAGGAGGCGGAGGTTGCAGTGAGCCGAGATCGCACCACTGCACTCCAGCCTGGATGACAGAGCGAGACTCCATCTCAGAAAAAAAAAAAAAAAAAAGAAAGAAAAAGAAGAGGGAAAGGGAAAAGAATGAAGAAGACTTACATTCTTAAGTCCCTGCTTGGCACATGCTTCTCCTCTCCACCACTATCCCTTCTCAGGTCATCCTTTGGGTATCTGATCCCAATAGCTGTTGTCTCAAGCTCTGAGCCCAACAAACCATTTCCCCCTTCTTAGGCTGTAACCCAGGCCCTGCCCTGCAGCTGTCCCCAGCCGCTGCACAGAGTCTCCATTTGGTCCCCATCCTGTTCTCTGATGGCTCCACACTACCATCCCTCCTCCTCTGAGAGACAGTA